AAAAAAAGAAAGAAAGAAAAGAAAATGTTTGTGGATCTATTTTTGCAAAAGTAAGCAGAGGAAAGCAAAAGCAGAAATTGATGAGACGCATCACGTAAAAATGGGGGTTGCAGCCAGGGGGCAGTGGGGACAGGAAGAGTTGGGAAGCTTTTCTGAGTGCCCCATTTTGCAGAGTGTTGACCTTCAGGAACATGTTAATGTTCTACATACTTAAGAAAAAAAATCAACAAAGGTCAGGGTGGCAGGAGCCCTAAAATGGAATGCAAACTGAAACAAGTGAACCGGCCTGTATTTCAAATGAATAAAGTAACCACATTAAAGGGTGGGGGAGGAAGAGAAGGACTCCAGATAACTTTGAACATAACATTTACGTCATATATACTCAGGCTAAAGACAAAAGAACTGCATCCAGTACTGGACTCTACCTGGAAGACTTACTTTTTGTTTTTACAGTGACATGGGCTAGTAATTCTGAAACGAACTTCTCTGTATTTCTCAGTATTGGAGAAGAGATTTACAAGTATGAAAAGGGAGACTATTAGAATGAATTCTGTAGTGGCAGGGCACTGTGGCTCATGCCTGTAATCCCAGCAACTTTGGGAGGCCAAGGCAGGTGGATCACCTGAGGTCAGGAGTTTGAGACCAGTCTGGCCAACATGATAAAACCCCATCTCTACTGAAAATACAAAAATTAGCCAGGTGTGGTGGAGGGAACCTGTGATCCCAGCGGAGTGCAGTGAGTGAGCTGAGATGGTGACACTACACTCCAGCCTGGGATACAAGAGCAAAACTCCATCTCAAGAAAAAAAAAAAAAATGAATTCTGTGGTCTTGATTGAAATAGATTTATAAATAGACATAGACAGAAAAGTGGATGTTGGCATATATCTGTATATGTGTGTATGTATTACATATATATATATATATATATATCCATCCTGGTGTGCATGTGGGTGTGTTTCTCGGCTCTGTCTGCTGCAGGGACCTAGTAGCACTCCAGCAGCAATGAGTGTTGCTAGGACTCAGATCTTGGTTTCTAAAAACCATCCCCCAGTAAAAGGAAGCAAGGCTTCTTGGAGAAATGGCCATTTCCAGGGATGCCACAAGGGAAGTGCGAGATGAGCCAGGGCATCTGGCTGTGGCTTACTGTTCCTTGAGCAGGCAAGAAAGTGCTAAAATGTGACAGGGATATCACAAAGGGTCACACAAGAGCCACCTTGAAAAAGTGCCCACTGGCCAAATTGGACCCATTTGAGCATCAGAATAATGACTGTTAACAGAGTATTCATGGAATCAAATCCATACTTATATACATTGAGAAATGAATAAACAAATGGGAGAGAAAGGAGAGCCCTTCCCTACACCTGACTGCCAGCTAATAATCAAGGAGGGAGTGGAGTTACAAAATTACCATTTTACAACTATCACAGCAGTCTCTTTGTAACTATCATAGAGAGCAGCCATCAATGGATGCTAAAAGTAGTGAGTGAAAGTTCCATGGGGACAGGATATCCTCATAGTCTGAAAGTGACTCCCCACTAATTACGTAGGAAATACAAAGATAAAAACAGGAGGTTTACAGTACAGAAACCCTAACCAGGTAATCAAAGTAAAAATCATCAATCTTGGGAGTAACCGGCGCCACGTGCCTCCCGATACACTTGCTGCAGAAGCGACATCACTTCTGAATTCTTCCTGCCAGAAATGCAGACTCTAATGGTAATCACAAGAAAACATCAGACAAACCCCATCTGAGGGGCAGTCTATACAATAACTGGCCTGTATGCTCGAAAGAAGTCAAGGTCACTAAAGATTGAAAAAGCCTCCCAGCACTTTGGAAGGCCAAGATGGGTGGATCACCTGAGGTCAGGAGTTCAAGACCAGCCTGACCAACATGGTGAAACCCCGTCTCTACTAAAAATATAAAAATAAGCTGGCATGGTGGCACGAGCCTGTAATCTCAACTACTCTGGAGGCTGAGGCAGAAGAATCGCTTGAACCTGGGAGGTAGAGGCTGTAGTGAGCCAAGATCGTGCCACTGCACTCCAGCCTGGGCAATAGAGTGAAACTCCGACTCAAAAAAAAAAAGAAAAGAAAAAGCCTGCGGAACTATCCCAGATCAAGGGAGACTAAGACTGCTTTGCACTTTAATACAGTGTGGGATCCTAGACTTGATTCAGGAATGGAAAAGAAGAAAAGGTACAAAGGACGCTCTTGAAGAATTAGCAAACTCTGAAGATGCATTACGGATAAGATAATAGAATTGTTTCAACACGAAATTTCCTGATTTTGATGAAGGTACTAGATCAGGTGCAGTGGCTCACGCCTGTAATCCCAGGACTTTGGGAGGTCAGAGCAGATCACGTGAGCCCATGAGTTTGATACCAGCCAGGGCAACACAGTGAGACCCCAGCTCTAGAAAAAGTTTGAAAAATTAGCCAGGCATCTTGGTACATGCCTATAGTCCCAGCTACCTGGGAGGCTGAGGCAGGAGGATCGATTGTGCCTAGGAGGTTGAGGCTGCATTGACTCATATTCACTCCACCGCACTCCAGCCTGGGTGACAGAGCAAGACGTCATCTCAAA